CAAAGAGCACCTGACGTTAGTAGCACGAAAAGAAACTGCACTTCTGCTTTTGCCATCGATAGGATTAGCACGCGGATAACCTCTGGCAAGAAATTAACTTCCCAGAGACTCCTGAATTCACAAACATACATCATGTACCTTTTGGCTTTTTATTTTTTTTTGGGGGGGGGGGGGGGGTAATGAGATTCACTGTTTTCAAAAGCAATGATTATATGGAAAACTAACGAAACACACTCTGAAGCCGTACACAAGTTTATCTATCTATTATTATTTAGTTTGGGTTTAACTAACACAGTAAGGGAAAAAAAGCATTTCAAGTACACGTCCTTCAAAGAATTACACAAATGAGGTACTTTCAGGCAGTCGAATCCGATGCAAAGTTACTCGTAAGTTCCCCACCCCTGATTTCCAGCTTCATTACATTGGTGGAAAAACCTAAGTCCTGCGGAGCTCTGGACCACGATCCTGGAGCACGGCTGAGCCTGGGCTGGTAAAAGCTCCATCCGCATCACGCCGGAGGGGTGTGCGAGCGCGGGGGAAACCTGTGGAGGCCCGGTCCCTTCGCGGAAGGGCAGCCTGTCCTCGCCGGCCACAGTTAACTCGGGGTTTTGCCAGCTCCCAAATGCCTCGCAACAGGTTGTGGCTTGTGTAGCTGAAAGGCAGCATTGGGCGAGACGAGATTTAGCAGTTAGAGCAATGCTATTGCCACAGTCACCGCAACGGGCTTTGCCCTGCGGTGCAAGTCAGCAGCTCCTAATGCCGATCTTTGAGTGTGTAGGTTTGTAGCATGTAACTCATCAGCATGTGCTAAAATAATTAGCTGTTGCTTCACTTAACACATCTGAATTTGCAGCTTAAGCTACAGAGAAAGCATGGCCAGTCCTCCTTTCAAAAAATTTGGTTCCACCAGTCCAAGTTGTTGAGCCTGTAACAATAACCGTGGCCTGAGTTACAGATAAAGAGCGAATTCACGCCCTGAAACACAAAACTATCTCCATGGCTTTCTTTTTATTTTCTGCTGCCAAAACCTGCAAGGTCTCCTCTTCCAACACTCTGCTTTTCTCTTTTACTTGTTTGATTTTTCTAACCTTTGGGGAAAAAAAGCATTGCCCGAGAGCAGCGCTGCACACCCCCGAGCGCCAGGGCATTGCGCACCACCTCCGGAGAGCACAGGTCACCTCAGCACAGGTGTTGAGGGGTCCCTCAACCGTTCGGCGTTGGGGTCCCTCACACGCTGGCAGTGGGACAGCGTTCGAGACACCAATGAGCTCCACGTGGCTTTTCCTGGGACTGGTCGTAGCACTGCTGCTGCTATCACGGGGGGAAAAAAACCCAACCAAAACCAAGAAAAAGGCTTTAGCAATGCAAAGAGCCCAAATCACAGAATCACTAGGTTGGAAAGGACCTTCAAGATCATCAAGTCCAACCATTAATCCAGCGCCACCATGTCCCCTAAACCATGTCTTGAAGTGCCACATCCACTCGTTTTTTGAACATTCGCAGCAAAAACACTTACTGCGACCGGCACTACGATACAACAGGTAACGTCACTGCTCTAGCCCCACGGAAGTCCCTCGGCCTGCTTTGTAGGCCCAGCACGGCTGGGCAGGAAGGTGCGCGAGCGAGGGGAGGCAGGGCTCCGGCGCTGGCTTTACTGCCTTTCAGTGTTGCGCCTCTTTCCCCGCTGATGGGGCCTCGCGCCCGAAACGGCGCATGCAGGCGGGCTGCTGGGGCTGCTCCGGGCCCCCGACTCGCGCAGGGGTGCAGCTGAGCAAAGCTCCCATCGGGACGGGCCTCGGGCAGCGCGGGCCTGGCTCACACTCGGCCTCGCTGTGGGAACGGAGCTGCTCGAGAGGCAGCGGAGCCCTTGGGCACGCCGGTTTTGCCTCTCTAAGGAGTGAAGAAATAAGCTTTTATTGCTGTTTCAATGTTGTCGTCATCTCTGAATTGTGTTGCCACAATTACCCCGTGTGACTAATTTCATTCTTCTCTAAGCCCATTAGTTCCAAGGATCTCATTAGACAAACAGAGCCTCCCTTGCCTCCCCTCATATGGCCTTTACCATACGGCGTCTGGCGCTTGTAAAACTTGCAATGTTGTGCTGGATAATACCTCGTGCAAAAGAGATGGCACAACAACATCGCTCGTCACACTGGGCTCTCAGTTATTCTAGAACAACGTAACTAACGACGCCGTAGTCTTTCAATCTAAATAGTTCGTTTGATTGGTAATATGTTATTTAAGACGGTTCTCCAAAAATAGAGCAATAATCAGAGACATAGCAAAATCCTGTAACAAATCAAAACTGCTAGTAAATAATTTCATTAGCTTACAACATCACGTACCATCACAACAGAGTTTCTCCTGAGCCTGGGAAGACATTTCAATTGGAAGTGGAATGGTTTTGAAGTTCTTTTCAAACCCCAGAAGAAAAGCTCCATTCTAACTACCGAGGGAGTTTAAAAAGTTCACAATTTTGAGCTTTAGTCTCAAAAGAAAAATCTCCATTCAGGCTGAGAAATTTAGCTCATTTGATGTTGAATCATTTATCGCATTTTAAGTTGAGGTTTTTGAATGGGACAAAGATGAACAAATACCACGAGTTTAGAAACAGATGGAGATTTTGTTTGGTTTTTTCTTTTTTTCTTTCTTTTTTGTGATGCCTACTTTTGTGACATAAATAATAATAATAAAGCTTGCAAGGTCCCGGAGCTTCTCTCCAATTGACGTGGGTTTTGCTTCACCTCTAATTAAAACTTGGAACAGTAGTCTCCCACTTAGCATCATACAGAGTAACTTTCTTTTAAAATCACTATTTTCAGATGTTAGATGACAAAAATCACTCTGAGATCAACACTTTGTGTGCTGAATTAATTAATAGAAAAGCAAATTAATGCACTTCTGCAGTAGAAATCAATATCTTGAAAAACGAAAAGGTCTCTTTTGCTACCAACTCGCTTTCAGGGGTGTAGCTAACAATGTGAAATACCAACATACAAGAAAAATGCTGTCCTCTCTCTTCTACCAGACACCGGTGGTATATGCTGTATGTGCCTAGGCGATCGTTTCACACTCCTGAGAGTGAAAAAGCTTACACTACCCAGTAAAGGAAATAAAATTCAATGGCATCAAGAGCCAGCTAATCTAAGATATACATAAAAAAGCACGTGCGTCACCTGTCTTTGCCCTGCAACAGCTAGTTTCTTCTAGTAGCTGTAAATTTAACTCAGTGCTGAGCCTGGTTAAATAGTAAATGGAATAAATGACTGCATTTTTTATTAGAAAAATATTAATGGCAATGCAAGGACCTTGAAAAAGGGCTGAGGGTAAATCTGCCTTCTAATGCGGGGACGGAGGTGACCTGGGTGAAGCGCAGCCCTTCCTCGCTGCCCCGAGACGGCAGGATAGCACCGGGGGCGGCTGTGTCTTGTGGGCGACACGAAGGAAAACCGGGCTTTAGTTTCCTCCTGCCTAGGCTTGTTTATTCAAAGATTCAAACCCGTCACAGGATCCGACTGACCCCCTTTGTCCTCATGGAGGAAAATGTTGGTACAGGTTTGTTCCTGAAGAGCTCTTCCACCCCTGCCCGAGAAAATAATGAAGAGAGAAAGCCCATTTGGAGAGGCCTCCGGTGCATTGCACGGGTGGCATTACGGGACGGAGATGAGGTGGCACTCCCTTCCGTACTTGCACCCACCCTGGACAATGAGCTGGTTTGCAGTTGCTGCTGCTTCTGTAACAGAGGCATGACAAGCCACAAAACCTCGCTGCTCATTGCCGAGGGCCGACTCTCTAAGATACGGGTTAATTCGGTTAGTCATAGCAAACAGCTTGACAAAAAAGAAACATTCATCTGGCAGCTGTTGTGAACGTGAGCAGAATAACAGGTAGCCTGTAGCATTTTATTAAGCAGCAGGTAATCTCTTACTGGTTTCTTCTCAGCTACTGTTTTAAAACTCATCTTTCACATGGTTTTCTCCGAGTAATTCATTTGAACCTAAAAATGAGAATTACAGTCTAACTCTATAAGCTTCTACCCATAAAGGCAGCCCTTGCTGCCACTGAAACCGGGGGAAATGATTTCCAAAGCAAGAAGTGGTTATGTGACGTGGGCACTGGACCCATCCGTCCCCAGGCAAGGACCACAGTGCCCAGGCTGGGGCAGTGGGTTCTGCCCCATCACGTTTCCATTTCTTGAGTTCCCTGTGCTATCCTGAGGAAATCCTGCTTATTTTCTGCATCCAAAACAGAGATTACAGTACCTGTTAGAGATGAATTTGTATTTACCGAGTGCCTTGAGATCCTCTGATGAAATGCAATTTGTGGCTGAGAGGTTCACACACTAGGCTGTGCTTTTGCCGGCCGTGACTTGCGGACCTGCTGGCAGTTTTATCCGAACACCACCCTGGTCCCCAGAGGCCAGTTTCCGTCCGCACATCAATCTGTGTACATGAAACAGCTTCATGGATGCGCCTGCTTTGGTGGGGCAGAGGCTTGTTTTTAAATGCAGCAACCCGGTAAATGATAGGTTACAAAAGACTTCACCAGTGAAGGTAACTGCTTACGCATTTCACCCTATCAAAACTCAGGGATACTTTATTACTTAGGGTGAAATCTGGTCATACTGACATTGACGGCCTTTTGAAGGTCTTTTGAAGTTTTTGAAGTCCAAGGTCCTTTTGAAGTTTTTCCAGAACAGTTAGGCAAAGACACAGAGAAGACGAACGAATCCCTTCTACATTTAAATAGTCAAATATGCAACGAATGGTGAACGGCAGAGCCACCTTCCAGAAAATTAAAGCATTCACCACACCATTGCCTTATTACCTACACAGAGCTCCAGATAAGTTGTCTGCTGGGATGAACTTTGCCTCCTCATTTCCATCCTCACGTGGACATCTCAACTTGTAATCATTAACGAACTATCCCTGTAACGGCAGGGTGGCTGTACAGTCTGAATATCGTTCAGAGCTGCTTTGGGAAACGAGAAGTCACTGAAAATGTCCAGCAGGTATCACAAAGCAGCATCTGACGGCAATTTGGACCTCTTGAAAGAAGCCACTAGGAAAGACCTCAATACTTCAGATGAAGACGGGATGACACCCACCCTTCTGGCAGCATACCATGGGTATCTAGAAGCTCTGGAAGTCATATGTCGGAGGGGGTAAGTCAAGCCTCATTGCTTAAAGCGTGTGGCTGAAAAGTATAATTAGTGCGTCATTTTTCTAATGCCCTGATGACCTCAGATCCAAAAGGCTGAAAATCACGGTCATTTCTTTCAATGCATTGCCAAGACTGTTCCTCTTCATCTGCAATGGCCCAGAACCTGTGAGCAGGTCTGTACGTGCGGTCGGTGAAGCCGCATCGACATCAGCAGGACCACCTCATACATGGAGTCTGCAGGGAGCGGTTAGTAGGAGCAGGGCTCTGGGACCTCACCTCGCTGTAACGGAGAAGTTGGCCAACAGCCTTTGGTGATAACATAATTTTGAAACTGGCTCTAGGGAAATGCATTGTTTGAAACATTTTTAGCAAAAAATCTCTCCCATTTGCTTCCAAAGTGCAGTTAGTAGACACCTGCGAAGGTTCAATGCTTTCCAGAGGCAAGTCACAACCGATAGCTTTGAGACAGTAACATCCAAAATTGTTGTTTCTCTGCTTTTTAGAGTATTAGCAACTAACATGATGATAAAAATGATAATACTGTTTCAGAAGATGGGGTATCATACTTGCCAACCTGAAAAAAAACCAAGAAAAAAGTAAAGGAAGGTTTTCTACAGGTTTATTTTCTAATTGTGATATTTCTGTTTGGTATCATTTAAATGTACGATATGCTGAAAATGTATTATTGAAACAGTAACTACCTCCCCACCCTCCGTATTCGCTTGCTTGGAGCCTACCATTTAAGCTGTGATTCTGTAATAAGATCTAATAAAAGAAAATCTGCTCTTGTGTAGAGATACAGTTAATAAAATACTCTTTCTGGGCTGAGATGAAGATTAAGTTGACCTGTATTTTTAATCATACTAGTTTAAAGAAGATTGGAGGGAAAAGTTGAATAATTATTTGGATGTATCTGAGTTTTCTTTTCTTAAAAATAGAATTGAAAATATGGAATAAAAATAGGTTTTTCATAGATTTGCTTTATAGCTCATTGAGCTCAGGTGTGGCTGCCGTAACACAATAAAAAAGACCTTTGGACTGCATGGTTGTTGCTGTGTCCCCAGGAGAAGCAAAAAGAGATTGACAGTTTTTCCAACTTGTATAACTAAGGTAGCTCCAAGATCTAGAATCAATAAAGGTTTGTCCCTGAACGCCTAGAAGACAGAACAACTAGCTAAGGAAATAATTTTTTTCAAAATTTTAGTGAAAAATATGTCTTCTACCATATAAGTTGATAGAAGTCACAGAGGATGACATAAAGATCGGAATTTCTACATATTTGTTATTTAATGCATTTCTAACTCTTTCTTCCTAGAGGATAGCTTTGGGACAGTATTGCCCTCAAAATTTTCAAACATATGCATTCACCTCCACTTTAATCCAAGATTTCTTGACACGATCAGCAAGGTGGGGCTGTCAGAAACATGGAGGGAGTCTCACTGGTTTCTTGGGAGAAGCTGAATTTTGGAAGATGTTCAGTCTGTTCTGCAGTCAGTTAATGTTTTCTTGTGAGAAAGTATTTCAATTATGTTTAACAAATTCATCCTTTCCTTGAAGGGGTTTCCTGACAAAGGCATTGAGACGCAGGATGGTTTTCCTTAAAGTGGTTGCAGTTTTTAGGACTCTGAAGCTTGCAACACTTTCAGCCCTTGGAAAATGTAGCAATACTAACAATAAACTCTTTCATCTTGAAATAGTTTATCTTCCCAGGCATCAAGAGCTGTTTCCTCTGCTCGCTTTGCAGGTGCATGAATAAAAGCAAGACCAAGTAGCAGATCTGGTCTCTTTTGTGCGAGCCTCTTTCTTGGGAAAGCAGGGAAAAGAGGAGTATGAGAACCCAAAGTGGATGTCAAACCTTATCCAAAGTCCCACTGAGCTGGGAACAGACACTCTGGTTTGTCAATTGTTTGAGGCTCAAAGGCTGGCAGGCTCCACGGGGAAAAGAGACCACAAGCAGCTATGAAGGGACCTGGGGGAGGATGGATGACCTGGCACTCCCAAGGCTCAGGATAACGAAGCTTGTTCGCTAATGTGGGAGTTAAGGAATCCAGCACGCTTGGCCGCGGTCAGGCAGCTCCCCAGGCGGAGCCGCAAAAGCAGAAATATGTACACATGGCTTCCATATGTCTAAGTGGAGAAACTTTGATCCTCAGTTGCCACCTCCTCGTAGAAATGCCTGTGCTGTTGCAGCCTGGCATGCTCAGATTTGCCGTTGTTTCCTAACGCGAGCAGCAACATCTCAGCTCTGCGAGGACCCCCGACCTCTCTCTTGCCGTGGCATTTCAGGCTGAAGGATGTTGTCAGATTTGGCCCTCAACAAATATGTTAGTGCTTTTCTTCAGAGACACTCAGAGCCAGAGATCAATGCCTGAAGGAGATTTTGTGATAGCATGTACCATTTCATTCATAGTATAATCGCTGTGCAACGAATCTCCAAGACACAGAAATGCTTAAACTCCCACGAGCAGAAATTCTCCGTGTCAATTTGGCCCCTGGCTCTGAAGTTATTAAAGGGTGTGGGCTACTGTGTCTGCCTTGGTTATCAGCCACAGATGGCCCAAGCTCTGTTCTGAACCATTGCTAATGTTGATCCTGCCAAATATGAATTAAAAGATTCAAGCCGATTCTGATCTGCAGGCAGCAGTTCAGTGTGAAGTCAGTACAAGAGTTAAAAAGCAAGCAATAGTTTCCACTGGCTTTAAATTCAATTGAAAAGATGTGGTATTTTATTTTCAAATGAGCTTCTGATTTTCAAACCCCATGAGTAAAAGCAGCTTAAGAAGAACAAAAGAGCTGAAGAAAAACAACGGTATCTATCTGAGCTTAAATTAATAGCAATGGAGACAAATGTGTAATCAGGACTTTACTCCTAATCATTTACCTATACCTACCAAAAAAGTTACTGCATACGTTCATTAAGTATATATCACTGTGGCCAGTGAAGAAGTCTCATAATATTGTCCCTGCATTTGACATACAAAAGGGGAAAGTCACCAAAAAGCCTTCAGAATATTCCACCCAAAAGCTATTGAAACAATTTTGCCATTAATTCCAATGAGTAGAAGTTGAAGCCTGAGCCCACAGGCGGGCAGGAATTAGAGCTTATGCCACGCACGCAGCCAAACTCAGTGCTCGTGTAAGTAGGTGCAGCACCGTTCTAGAGGATGGAGCTAAGCTGACTCATTTTCATTGGGCTGTACTCCTCGTAGCAAAGCTGTGCTAAATATTTAGTATCTGTTCAGTCCACTGCAGTACTTGGGTACATCCAGCTCACTGTATGCTATTTTCCTTCCCAGAGGTGATCCGGACAAATGTGACATCTGGGGGAACACTCCTCTCCACCACGCTGCTTGCAACGGTCATATCCATTGTGTTTCTTTCTTGATCAACTTCGGTGCCAATATATTTGCTCTGGACAACGATCTCCGCACTCCCCTGGAGGTGGCTGCCAGCAGAGACCGCAACGAATGTGTCCGAATCCTGGACAAAGCTGCCACCGAGCAGAACATGCTGAACCCAAAGAAGGTCTCCAAACTCAAAGCGCAGGCCCAGAGGAATGTGGAGAAACAAATCAAGGAATGCGAGAAGCGCCAAGAGAAACACCAGCACGAAATGAACCGGAATTATATGAAAGAAAAGGTTGGTACAGTAAATTCTTCCAGAGGGACACACTCCAGAATAAAGTTGCCTAGTCTCTTTGCTTCAAATACAAGTCCTTTCTCCAAAAATCTGAAAGATACCTTCAAACTGAAAGCAAAAAAGACAGCTGACAGCACAAGAAGCCAGAGAACACAAAGCAATGACCAAGAGAATGGTACAGGTAGGAGAACTGTGATGCATTTGTTTGATGAGAAAGAGGAGGATGAATTACTGAATGACCTCGGAGAGAAAGGCTTTTCTGATAATGACAGTCAGCTCTCCATTTTTAAGCGGCCAGGTCTTGGCAAGATTGTATTTGGAAGGAATTTGGCTGCGGATGTAAACCCTGGAACTGTGTCTTCTGAGAAAGAAGACATAAGCTTTAAAATGTCCAGTGAGCTCTTTCAGTGTGAAAATGCTGAGAATGGCAGGGAAGATGATGCTGAAAATGGTGTTGATATCCCTTGGCATGAGGAAGAAGTAATCTGGGATGACGAGGAAGCAGAGAACACACCCCTTGAGGTATTTCTGGCATCACAGACACTGGATGAGTTTCTTCCAGTCTTCATGAGGGAAAAGATTGATTTAGATGCCCTGATGCTATGTTCTGATGAAGATCTACAGAGCATTCAGATGGAGCTTGGGCCGAGAAAGAAAGTCCTGAATGCCGTGAATAAAAGAAAACAAGCACTCAAGAAGGCTGGAAAGATTGTAGATACTTGCTTATAAATGAACATACCTGTTGCTGTCACCTGCACACTGATTCATTCTTTTCCTCTTTCCAAAGAGCACACAATTCTTTTCAGGCGTCTGCTAAAGCAAAAGGCAGAGAGGTTACCAATTGCTTTAGGAAGTACAGCAAGGACAAAGATTTTTCTCTTTGGATAGATGGCTGTGGTGCACAGATATTAATTCAAGTATATTCTGCCAAAAGGAAAGCATGTGAAGGTAAAAACCCAAAAGCTATAGATTAAAACCCTTTTCTCCCTGAACTGTTTATGGAGATTGGATTTTTTCTCATTGGAATTATTTAAATTCACTAAAATATTAGTGAAGGCCAGCCACACTACATTCCTTCATAAAGCACTTCCCTTCTTCTCCAAAACCACAATGCAAAGAGAATTCCCAAAGCTTGAGAGCTTTGAGTTTTCTCCATTTGCTTGTTAGATTGCTGCAAACCACCGTTCCTGGTACCGATCACACGTTAGGAATAGCATCCGAATCTTGATTTCAGCTATGGCTTATTGCCTTTAATAGCCTCTGAATGCAAGACTAATTTACAGCAAGTTTTGATTGTGTTCTTGTCAGTAAAGTGTTTTGCTACTGTAATGATATTAATTAAAAAATACATGAAGTACCCTGCCAAGAGAGGTTTGGTGTGAGCTGTATATTCTTTTCTCTCTCATTAGACTGGGCCCAGTTGCCAGCACCCAACAAGTCCTAAATGGCATCAAGACCACAATACTTTTAAGTACAAGAAGCTGAGGTTTTATTTTCAACATTCTTGATCTGTTTTGGTATATCCTCAGCTTGGTTCCTATAGGGTGCATTTGCCATGGGAAGTCCCAGAAACTAGGACTCTTACCACCCAGCATTTTCTGTTGGTTGTTGTCAGCTTCAGTCTGAAAACTGCCTGTAACACACACACTCAGCTCGTGGCAAGAAAATGAGACTGTGCTTCTGTGGAAGCTCCTGTTCTTTACAGTCTACCTGGAGGTATCCACAGCAGGCTTCCCATCCTTTCTCTCAGGCCTGCTCCCTTGGGAAGACAGCACTATCTGATATGAATTAATCACTCCTGTTCAGTTTTCTGAACCTAATAAGGTGCCTGTAGCAGCCTCGCTCTGCCAAAGATCTTAAGTTTTAAGAGGCACAATTATTAGCAGGACTTTTAACTTTAAATCTCTTTTTATAGCTTTCCATTAGTCAGCTATCACTTTTTCCTCAGGGGTATACTATGCATGCGGACACTATTCCTAGTTAATAACCTATTTTAACATGCTTCCTTTTTTCTACATCTTCTTCTTCTTACTTGGATTTGTTTGTTATAATTCCTTTTCTCGCCTGGGCTTTATACGGCATTCTTTCCTCCTTGGATTCCGTACTTCAGCAGGTCGCTATTTTCTTCTATTAAGCAGTCATCACATCAGCGTCCCGTTCTGCACAACCACGACTGCTGTGCTTAGCACAGTAATTAAATCAGACAGCATCCCCCCAGGTTCTGTGTTATTAACATGCTGGGTTGTTTTCATTTTGGCTAAGAAACTTCCAAATGTTTAACGAAGCAAGAAGGAAATGATGACTCTTACATATTTGAAGGCATATGATGCGTGGATTTTGAAGGGTCAAATCCTATCATTCTCAGTCTGGTTCTTTACCTGCCCAAACGCTTGTGACCTGCCCACAACACACCATCACAACATCAGACAGTGGTGCTGCTCACAAAGGACGTGTCCAATACCTGCCCTTACCACAGAACAGCTCCAGCAGTTCTGCGATAGGCCCCAAGTACCTCTAAATTGCACTGAGAATCTGCCCAGTTGCTGTGACCTCTGACAGCCAGAGGTAATGGCAGAGACTATCTGCACCTAAATTGTTTGACTCGGTTGTCACAAGCATCCAGCGTGTTTTGGCATGTCCTTAAGGTATCCACAGTAACTATGGACCTAGCAGAGACAGCACAAGATCTACAGGAAGGAGTTCCTTGTCCTTCTGGAACTGAGGAAGTCTCTACAGTCTAGAGACCAAGCAAGAAGTCCCAGAGCAACCCACATGACATTGTAGGCAACTGATTCAACCCCAATATATATATATCCTTTTAAAATAAATTTTAAAAATTAAGTGCAATAGTGCTAGGCCTTTTCTTGCAGGATGGTCCTGGAAATTGGCCTCTGAGATAAAGCAGCTGTGTGGAACAAGGGGAGGGGGGGCAGAAATAATAATGAGGAACATTCACATTTCAGTTTTTTCCACTTACGTACTTTGCTGTTTTCCAAATTTTATCACCAACCCCTTTGTTTCTTTTATAATTTGAAGTATTTAAATTAGTGAATCCCAGATCCGACTCCTTAGTAATAGTACAGTACAGTTCCATTGGAGACACTTTATGTATCACATGTGCAAACTTATAGCCCAGTCAAAACCCAAACGGTAAAACCATGGGATCTCACATGATCACAGCCCTGCCACGTACAGGATTCTCCTTCTTTAAGGATTTCATACTCTGCACTGGACAGATATCAAGAGGAGGGAATGTGCAGCATGGGAGTATCACAGTGGAGAAGAGCAGTCTCAATTTATTTTCCCCTTTAAATTCAGTGATCACATTTATTGAGAAAGTAGTCACTGTAACAACTTGAATACTTTCTTCCTGATCTTCAAAAATAAACAAAACCACCCAGAACAAAAGGAATGCACAACAAAATGAAAGTCAAATAAAGACAGCAGTATCTATTTAATTTTAACATAAATGCAAGTTACACAATTTCTTGAGACTCTGATTTGCAAGAGAAGGAAACATGAAAATTAAGGCTATTATTTCCCCTAAAAAAAAAAAAAAAAGAAAAAAATCTAAAGACAGCTTCCAAGCAACTCCCATTGTAATTGAATCGAATCCTCTTCATGAATTCAGAGGTACAATGCTGAAGCCAGGCTCCCTATTGCCCATGAAAGCCAAGAACACTGTGGGTTTCATAACGAGGTTTCTGGACTAGTTCCATCTACTTTTAAAGTGCATGGTCTGTAGAAAAGTACATGTGAAAATAAATTGTATTTGTCTTCTTCCCAAATACTACGTCTCACTTTAAATTACAAACCTTGTTTTACACAGGCACAGAACTGGGGTAATATTGTCATAAATAGTAAGTGCAAGTTACCATAGAGTTCTTGAATTTGGAACATTGATGGCTGTCACATTTGTCTCACACTAGTGGAGTTCTCCATTGCTGAAGTAACAAGCCAAGCCAACACATATATTTCTGAACACTTCAGAAATGACATAGAAGAAAAAACATATGTGAAAATAGTAATTTTGCTACAATAAAAAAATGCAAAAGCTTATAGAGAAATTTCTGTTCTTGTTTCTGCTGATACAAACAAGGTCCATGGCGTTAGACTTCTAGCCACAGAAACACATCTTTTGGCCCTATTCACTTACTGGTCTGGTACCCTTCCACACTAAAACTCTGCAAATTACAAACTCTGCCACTTACTACTTTTTTCCAACTAGTTTACACCAGGCTTATAACTTTTAGTATTATGTCACACCTGCACTGTACTCGCTAACCTCTTCTATACTTACTTATGCATCATCAAGGGCTTTAATGCTGCTTCTGAACCTCCTTCCTTTTGCTCTGCTGTATTCTACTGGCGTCAATATAGAATGACCATGTCACCTAACCCTTCCACAGATTGAAGAAACACTTAATAGCCTGCATGAAATAATATGCAAGTAGAAATAAAATTTCGTAAGGCATGACTCTAGCCTAAGACAAGAATTTGTTTCGAGGGCAATAGCTATTTTTCAGCAGATGCTCAATCTTTTGTAAGGCAGTTGCATAACAGCACAAAACTGGAACTTTTCCTTATGTAGAACATCACTGAGTTCTTCCGCCAAGAAAGGATCATGGAAATTCCTGTCCCAGCAAATACCCACTGGGATAAAAGAACAATTAGCAATCGATGCATAGTACTGCCAAGATGAAAATATTTGCCTACACTTAAGTTTATCCTATTGAAATCAATTTGCACGGTTCCAATCTCCGAGAAGCTTAGAAGAAGAACTTACAAACACCATAGATTAATAAAAAAAATCTCCCCACAGATTATAGATTAGAAGTTAAATCAGAACACATTTTTAGTACTCACATTTTGGATGACTCCTTGCAATAGGAAAATGGCAATATCCCACTTAGGGCCATACTAACGGAGGTATTGAGGGCAGTTTCCTCCCAGTTAAAAATGTACATAATATTAGCTCTGATTTTTTGCTCTTTAAGTCTTCCTGAGCTAGGTCTTTCACAAAACCAGACAGAAATCTAACTGTATGAAGGCATCATTATTTATATAAACTCCCACTCAGGAGTATGCTCTTAAATGGAAAACCATCGGGTGTGAGGGCAGAGAAGGGGGTTTGTGGGGGGTGAAAGTAAGGATGGTGACTTCCAGATCCCAGTCTGAGCTGGAAGGGAAGGGGTGGGCTGCATTCCCAGGAGAGACTGAAGATTAAGGCTACTGTCAGTGTAGCACAGAAACCCACAGCTGTGTTTAAAGTACCATCACAGGTAAATATGATGCCAGAGTCCATTCTCCAAATTGATATATTTTACTACAGTATGAATTGCCCCTCTAAAAGCATGAAATATACCCACAGACTTCTGTTACATAAATAATTAGAGAGGAAAGGGATTGATTCCAGAGCTCTACCAAAATATGTAAAAATAACCTATTAGTATCACTGCAAACATCTAATACTTGCCATTACATGAGATACATATATTACTAATACTGCAGGTATCTAATACTTGCCATTAGAAAACTGCAGAAATTAGTCTATTGCTGAAACTTTACTTTTCATTCTTGAATGTTCTAGAAGAGCCACATTCAGATAGGACTGGTGCCTTTCTTGTTAACAAAAGATACAAGGAAACTAAGTGCAAACAATTTTCTTGGCCTCGTTGGCATTGTAGACTTCTCTCTTTAGTTACCAGCTGACCATGAGTCATAAACAA